CCTTCTCCATAGGTATGAAGAATAAATAGATTTGAGTTGCTTTTCTTATAGGTATTAATAATATTGGCCATACATTCATAGTTAATACATATGATGTATTATAAGATACAAAAATTTGGATGTATATGACTATATTTTTATTTATTAATTTTGGGAAATATTATTAATTCTATATGTATGTGTTAACCTTGCTTCAGTAATTTTGGCAGATTTTTTCTTGAAAGAGAAAACATCATTAAAAATTATACTGCACAGAGAAGTGGGGTTAGGATTCTACTCAGTAGATTTTTTTCTACCCCAGAAAAATTGTGAAGGATGCAGACTCACAGGAGATGCCAGGAGAGCAGCCTCTCAGCCTGTCCAAGGACACTGTCCCAGTCTCCCAGGGGCTGGGATCCTGTTCTGGACTTGCCATTCCCTTTAAATCACTCATAGTAAGCCCTCTATAAATATTGAAGAGAGATCAGGAATCAGGAAATCGGATTATTTTACATGAGAAATGGTACATCAGATTTTTTTTAATTATAAAAAATAGGGTATGATAGACTTTTTGGTTAGCCTAAAAATGTCCTGAAACAATATTCTGAACCTTTCTACCCCATCAATTTTAGAGATAAGAGTATCTCTGTATCATGCAATATGAAGGTCCTTGTGCTGGGAGGCAAAGACCACCTGATGTCCACGCTTGAAGAAACCTCACTTACAGCCCTGCCCAAGCTGTCATTCGGCAGCTGTGTGCACTAGACTCAAAGAGGAGAGCTATGTCTGGCAGGGCTCAGAGAGAGCCAGTCACAGAGTGATGCGTCTGGGCAAGTGTTTCTAACTATTCTTTATATAGAGCAAAAATACGAGTTTATTTCTATACAGAGAAAAATAAACTTTAATAAGCACAAATCATATGGATCACCGGCCTACTTGAGACCTTGCAATGGGTCCATGGATGCCTTCACTATGCCAGCCACGGCAGGACCTGCCAGGCCCTCCTGCTGGCCTTCCCTTCCTCCCATCAGCTTCTTGCTCTTGTCAGGCTCCCTTCTCCCACACAGTCCTTGTTTGTGCTCTTGCCTCTGCCTGGAGAAGTCTTCCCTCACACTCTATAATTAACTCCTACTCAACCTTAGGATTAAACTGCACTTTCTCAAAGGAGACTTTTCTGATCTCCCTGACCAGGTAAAGTTTACATATTACCAGCTGTAAGGGCATCTGGTTCCCCTCCTATATAGTTGTGCATCTTTACATATATTCCCTAGATTATTTGATTATTTAATCTCCCTCTCTTCTATAAACTCCACCATAGTAGAGATGTGCCTGGAACAAAATAGATATTCAATAAATATTTATTAGATGAATGGATGAAAATCAGACACAGAAGTTACCTCTAAACCTTCCAACTTCATCAAGGTGCGTTAGGGTTTCTTAACCCTGAGACCTGTGAGAGGGGTCCTGTTTGCCATGGGGTCGGGTTCACTGGGAGATGCTCCTAGGTACAAACCCTGAATGTTTTGAAAGCCTAATGTTTGTGTTTACTCCTTTAACACACTACCTATCAAACAGAACTCTGTGTTTGCCTTTTAAGCTTTGTAAGCTTTCTCTCCTCCCTACACAAAATGAATACAATGGGCCAGAAAGAGTTATAACAACAGGAGAAAAAAGGAAAGGTTTCTGTTCCTTTGTCACTTTCTCTGGAGTGGAGAATCCAGAGTTGGGTAAACTATAGAGAAAAGTAAAAAGGAGTCAGACAGACTCAGCCTACACAACCAGGACCAGACCTGAACCAGGTAGGGAGGGCAGAGGAAGGGCCTGGGGAGAAAGAGATAAAAGAAGCCACATTGTCTGGATGTTAGAGAACATTTGGAGGACATTTAGTGAGAGGCTCCTAAGCATCTTTGGGATATGGGAGAATTGAAGAGGGGAGAAAGTGCAATTTTTAGAAGTGTGTTATTGAGACAGGGATTAGGCAGAGTAAGGTGAGGGCCTCAGGAGAAAAAGCAGAGCAAGATAATTACAGTAAGAACAATGTAGCAATGTGCAAAGAAGTCCCAATTTAAAGTCTGTGATAAGCATTACACAAAGTCAGAGTCACAGTAACTCTCTAGGGTAAGGATACCAGACTAGGAATATAGACATCTTCAGTGAGATCAGTTAAAATTAAAAGGCCACCGGAAGATGACTGGTTAGCCAGAGACGGGTAAGATTCCTCAAGGGAGGAACAATCTAAGACAGGCACAGTCGCAGGGGGGCCATCAGGTGAGAATTTGGGGATCAACAGAGGTGAGGCTCAGAACCTCACCCCCACTGCTTTGAGAGAAATCTTCTGCATCCGTGGATGTTTTGCTGCCCTTGTCTAGCCTGGATTAATACTTAGTCCATAGGCACACACCTGATCATCTGATCATCTACATTTGCCTTCTTACAGCACTAAACTATGTTTTCTACCTTTATCTTGCATCTACCTACCACTTCAGCATTTTATTAAAAATAAAAATAATAATAATAATAGGAGAAATGTGGGATCAACATATAAATCAAGTACAAAAATCAAACGAATATTCATATTTGACCTGATTGTTTATAGGTCATAATGCATGATCAAAACCGAAAGTTTCTGTGATGAATGCCCTTGTACTGTTCACCATGTAAGAATTTATTCACTATGTAAGAATTCGTTCACCATGTAAGAACTTGTTCGTTATGCTTCAGAAGATTGGAGACTGACGAGAATTAGGCTTGAGATGGATTAATGATTGTACATTGAGC